CTTAAGTTTTCTGCTTCATCCCACATTTGGCACATTTCAGAAAAGTTGCTGCTGCATTAAACGACCCGATGCTCTTGTGACATGCAATACACACATGAGTGATGGCACAACTCACGGAATCAATGATTAGTTGTTTCTGATTTCTTGACACTGTATAGACATTTTCCAATGTCGTCAATTTTTACTAGAACAGTGTCTGGACTAGTTGTCAAACTTTTCCCATCATATGATCGGACAGACACATTCGTTATGGAGTAGGAGTCGCCAACCTTGATTTCCTGTATTTCTTCACCCCAAATTGTAAGAGGAATGGTTTCAGAAATATCCGAGACAATTAATGTAACACTATTTGATCGGGTTCGATGTTCAATTTATGCTTACATTTTACGCCATGCTTGTTTACATGTTCTAATCTAATAAATGTAGTCTAGTTGAAACTGACTTTTCCATTACGCCACACGGAACCAGCTTCTTACATGGTGTCAGAAGTGTCGGACCATTATTAGTGAGTACGGGGATTGAAAATATTGTGTAACCAGCCACAATTAGAGACAAATTGACATTTTCCTTTGTTATTGTTCGAGAGCGCGCCAAAATCGACAACAATGGAAAACGTACTTCATCCGCCCGAAACAATGGATTTCGATGCTAAAAATCTTTCTCAGACCTGGAAGAAATGGAAGGAAGAGGTGTTACTCTACATAGATATCAGCATGGAGAAAAAACCAGAGCCACAAAAGGTGAAACTCTTGCTGTATCTTCTGGGACGCAAGGGGAGAGAAATCCATAGCACGATGCAGTTTCAAACTACCGATGAGCATGGGAACAAAGTGAATATGGAAGAGAAAAATATTACTGTAAAACTCATCCTCGCAGAATTTGACAAACACTGTGATCCCAAGAAAAACGAAACAGTCGAGAGGTACAAATTCTACAGTCGAAACCAGCAGACAGGTGACACATTTGACAAATTCTTAGCAGAAGTTAGAATTTTGGCTGACACTTGTAACTTTGGAACTCTCAAAGACTCAATGATAAGAGACCGAATTGTTTGTGGCGTAAGTGATTCTGGGCTGCGAGAAAGGCTTCTACGTGTGGCTGATTTAGACTTGGAGAAATGCATTCACGTGTGTAGAGCCACTGAAGTTTCCAAGGAGCAGAACAAGGAAATTCAACCACAGGCTGCAGGAATATCTGTGCATGCAGTCAACTCGCACAAGAAGAGCTTCAAGAAACAGCCACAAAAGTCCCAGAAACCACAGCAACAGGTACAAGCGAGACAAGAGCCTAGTCAATGCAAGTACTGTGGAAGTCGCCATGCCAAAGGAAAGCGAAATTGCAAAGCCTATGGCCATCAGTGCAGGAAGTGTTGCAAACTTCATCACTTTGAAAATGTCTGCAATTCCGCCAAGTCAACAGTCCATCAAATCCAAGAGAGTGCCGAATCAGACTCTGATGATTACTTTTCTATATATAGTGTAGATCTCAAAAACAACAGCGAGTCAGTAAATGCAATTAACCAAGCTTCTGCAAACAAGGTATTTGCCACCTTGTCGGTCAACGGACAGTATGTGAAATTTCAAGTGGACAGTGGGGCGACCTGCAACATACTCCCAAGAAAGTATTTGACAGATAACAATTCAATCACAGAGACAGACCAAATACTCAGCATGTATAACAACACGACAATCAAACCTCTGGGCAAGTGCAACCTAAAATTCAAAAATCCTAAGAACGGAGGAAAATACAAAGCGGATTTCGTCATACTGGATGGCTCGTGTCAACCAATACTTGGTTCCAAAGCTTCACAAGCCTTGAAATTGATCACGGTCGAGAACGAAAACATCCTTGAAATCAATGTGAGAAAACAACCTTTGACAAAGGAGAACATTTGCAGAGAATACCATGATGTGTTTACTGGCCTAGGACACCTGAAAGGAGATTACAGCCTCCAGATTGATCCGAGTGTCAAACCAGTTGTTCATGCTCCACGGAAAGTTCCACTCGCAATCAAGAATGACTTAGAAAAGGAACTGGAGAGACTCGTACAACTGGAAATTCTAGCCAAAGTTACTGAGCCTACACCTTGGGTCTCCAGCTTGGTTGTAGCAAGGAAGCAGAGTGGAAAACTCAGAGTCTGCATAGACCCCAAGACCTGAACAAGGGACTGCAGCGAGCGCACTACCCTATGCCTACAATAGAGGACATCTTGCCAGATTTGTCAGATGCCAAATGCTTCAGCGTCCTAGATGCCAAAGATGGCTTTTGGCATGTTCGTCTGGACTACGAAAGCTCTCTTATGACTACTTTTAACAGTCCGTTTGGCAGATTCCGCTGGCTCCGCATGCCATTCGGTATCAACACTGCGCCAGAGGAATTTCAGCGTCGCCAGCATCAAGCACTGGAAGGACTACCTGGAGTCAAGAGTATACATGATGACATACTGGTGTTTGGAGAAGGAAACACAGAAGCAGAAGCGCAAGAGGATCATGACAGAAACTTTGTCAGACTCATGATGAGATGTAGAGAACAGCAGCTCAAACTCAATAAGGACAAGATGAAATTTCGACAGTCAGAAGTAAAATTCATAGGCCACACGATCACTAATAAAGGACTCAAGGCAGACCCCGAAAAGGTCAAAGCAGTCCTGGATATGCCAAATCCAACTGACGTAGCAGGAGTCCGACGATTTATTGGATTTGTGACATATTTAGCAAAATTCTTACCAAAGCTTAGTGACATCTGCGAGCCGCTGCGCAAGTTAACACAGAAAGATGTTGAATGGCACTGGACCCCAAAACATAACGATGCTGTAAAACAAGTGAAAAATCTAGTCACAGCAGATCCTGTGTTACAGTACTTCAATCCAGAAAAGGCACTAACACTACAATGCGACGCCTCGGAGAAAGGACTTGGAGCAGCTTTGTTGCAAGAGGACAAGCCGATTGCCTTTGCCAGCCGTGCCCTGACCGAAACTGAAACCCGCTACGCACAAATAGAAAAGGAGCTTCTAGCAGTGATATTCGGGCTTGAACGTTTCAATGTTTACACATTTGGGAGACCAGTATCTGTCCAATCAGATCACAAACCTTTGGAGATGATTGTGAATAAGCCTCTTTACAAAGCGCCAAAGCGTCTCCAGAGCATGCTGCTCAGGATGCAAAAGTATGAAGTAAATCTTAAGTACCGTCCTGGAAAGAACATGGAGCTAGCGGATACCTTAAGTCGTGCGTATCTGCCCAATGAGAAACCATCAAAGGCGGAGTCAGTAGTAGAAGCGATAAATATGCTACAATTCCTGCCAATTGCACCAAACCGTTTGAAAGTCATTCAGGACGAAACTGCAAAGGATAATACCCTGCAAAATTTAGGCGCATCCATCAGAAATGGGTGGCCAGACTGCAAAACCTTAGTTCCAGAACTCATAGTTCCCTACTTTGAGATCAGAGATGAGCTGTCTATCCAAAATGGAGTCATTTTTAAAGGAGACAGAGCAGTTATTCCACAAGCACTACGCAAGGATATGCTGACAAGGATACATTCATCACACCTTGGAATCGAGGGATGCCTACGAAGAGCCAGAGAATCGGTGTACTGGCCACAAATGAACGCTGAAGTTAAGGACTTCATACAAAAGTGTGAAACATGCCGCACTTTTGACAACAACCAAGGAAAAGAACCTCTACAACATCACGAGGTACCACCACGTCCCTGGGCGAAGCTTGGACTTGACATCTTCACTTTCGACCAACGTAACTACTTGATAGTAACTGATTACTTCTCAAACTTCTTCGAGATTGATGCCCTGGACAGAATGACATCCCATGAGATCATCGAACGACTACGAGCACAATTCGCGAGACATGGAATACCAGACCTGTGTGTGTCGGACAACGGTCCTCAATTTGCCTCCGAAGAATTTGCTAAGTTTGCCCAACTGTGGGAATTCCAACACGTAACATCTTCACCACACTACCCACAAAGCAATGGGAAAGCCGAACAAGCAGTGAAAGTTGCCAAACAAATTCTAAAGAAAGCAAAACATGCAAAATCTGATCCTTACCTTGCATTGTTGGATTTCAGGAACACACCTACACAGCATGTGGGAACCAGTCCAGTCATGAGACTTATGGGAAGAAGAACAAAAACACTACTACCCACGAAAGGAAAGTTATTACAGCCGAAAGATGCACCATTTGAGAAAGAGAAGATCGACAATGCCAAACAAAAACAAGCAGAGTATTACAACAGATCTGCACACCCATTATCGCAACTATCAGTTGGAGAGACTGTCCGAGTCAAAACCCCTAATAGACCATGGGAGAAAGGAACGGTTACGGAAGCAATACCAGAAAGGAGATCATACAAGGTAACGACCGAGGCCGGAGCAAACTATACGAGAAACAGAAAACATTTGCGTAAATCAAATGAATTGCCGGTGTCAAGAGACATTCCGTGTGATCTTCCGTGTGAGACAAATGAGGCCAAGGAAGTGGCATCCGATGTTCCAAAGCCAAAAACTGACCCTAAGAACACAGTTACCCGTTCTGGACGTGAAGTGAAACAGCCGGTTAAATACAATGACTATGTCAGATCGTGATTTGTTGATAGACATTTAACTTGAGTAGATGCCAAGATAATTTTGTTTAGTGTAGCTAGGAACGCTTTATTCATTTCATCGATGTTGCATTTTACAAGTTTGCATATAATACTCATAGTCCAGTGTCTAGTCATATTGTTATTTTTTGCTAGTCAGTTCAGTAAAGCAGTACAGATGTTTTGATTCTAGTCACTTTTAAGCATAATATAAATTTATTCATTGTCCATACTATTCTAACTAAAGAAAAGGGGATGTAACACTATTTGATCGGGTTCGATGTTCAATTTATGCTTACATTTTACGCCATGCTTGTTTACATGTTCTAATCTAATAAATGTAGTCTAGTTGAAACTGACTTTTCCATTACGCCACACGGAAGCAGCTTCTTACAATTAATTTACACTTGTTCAATTCTGTTCCGGAATTGAGGACTTGGGTATCTGCTTCTGCTTTTTCAAAAATCTTTACTTTGACACAAGTCTGAAATATAAAAATATTTATAAGTAAATATTTACATTCACTGTATGTATTTTCCTTTATTTCTTAAGAAAACCCATTGCCATTAATGAGTGCATGAACGACACTGAGCAAGCCACATGTGTGTTTTCTTGAACAATGGCTGTTCCATCAGTTCTACATACAATGGCATATTCATCTTAAAAACAATAGTAAACAAATTTAATTTTACTTTGTTTTTTAATATAAATAATAAAATACTTTCTTTGTTAGTACGGGGAATTAACGTCGCAGCAGTTGCAGAAAAAAAAGTTATTTATTTTTTCTGCAATAGCTGCGACATTAATTCCCGTACTAACAACCAAAGAAAGTATTTTATTATTTAAATTACAACGTAAAACTACACTGAGTGGCCAAAAGTATTGCAACAAACATGGCTGACGTCATTATGTTTAACTTGCTTCAAATTTGTTTTCAATATTGACGCATAATGAAATAGATTTGGTATATAAAATTCGGGGTGTGAATTAGTCGGGGTATGATTTATTTTCTGGAATGTTTAAGATTTAACTTGAGCATACGATTTCCAGTGTGTTGTGAACGTAAATAATGTCAAAGAAAAAGAGAGATTTGTCAACTGAATTAAAGGAGCGGATTGTACTATTTATCTAAAGGGGATTTAACAATTAAATAAATGAAGCATTGGGAATCCATCGAAGTACAGTGGTGCGAGTTTTGTTAAAATTTAAACATAAGGGAAGTGTAGAAAACAACCCTCGAAGTGGAAGGCCACGAGTGACAGATGAAAGGGGTGATCGGAAACTTAATCGAATTCCTAAAACAAATCGCTGACAATCTCTGGGAAATTTTACATCAACTTTCAACAGAAATGATCTAACAAACGTGTCCAGTAGAACTGTTTGACGTAGAATGCATCAATTAGGATACAGGCAGGGTAAAATCCAAAAAACTCGGACAATATGTAAAACTAACTGACAACGGAGAGTACTGTGGTGCCGAGGCAAAAGACATTGGAATTCTGATCAGTGGCAAAAAGTTATATTCCCAGAGGTAGTTATTGGACAAAACTAGAAAACTGACCAGTCAGCAAGGGCCCCGCTGAGGGGTAGAAATATATTTTAAGGGTGCAGCTCATTGAATGAGAGTTTTACTTGATTACATTTTTTTTTTTAAAAATGTATGAAGATTATAGGTAGCAACTGAATTTTTAGGAACTTACCCAAGTTTATCCATAAGAAAGATATGGACTGGACACTAATTAGGAAATTTTTATTCCAGTGACCTTGAACTTCCCCAAATAACCTTGGGTCAAGGTCATGACACACCCTTAGGTCATGAGCATTCTGTGTCATGTAGTAGATTCTCATGTTTCTCCGTAAGAAAGATATGGACTGGACATGTTTGCACAGATAGACGGACGGACAGACGGACAAGCTGATTCCTATAAACCCCCCAGACTTCGTTTGCGGGGGGTAATAATTAACTGTATACTCTTGAGACATTATTTTTAAAACTAATTAGGTTTTACTTATTCCACAAATTTTTAACGTTTGTTTCTCAGAAATTGAGCTAACATCCGATTTTTACCTTCTGGAAAGCATTGAGGTTTTCCTCTATTTCTTTTATGGTTCTATATTTCTAATGCTCTGGCAACTGGAACTCGAAGTCCAAATTTCTTGCAGGGGTCATATTTGAGCGATGGTTATATTTGACATCGAATTTTCCGCTTGATTTCAGACTGGGTGACATTTGTACATTATGAAGTCTCACTGGTGTTCTGAAATGTAACCAAGAAAGAGTTTTACAAACAGTACAATAACTACAATTAGGTACACATTTAACAAGGCCAAGTCTAAATATTTCTACTGTAAGAGATTTTAATACTTTTTTCTTGAATTAGTTTTTATATTATTATGATTATATTGTTAAATTGTTGGAAGATGAAACTAGAAATTGTCAGTGTTTTCCCTTTATCTCAAAGTCGAGGGGTTAGAGATCAATTGTAACAGGCCAGGGGCTGAGGTTTATACACAGAAACTCTGTGGATCTTACAACAAATTTTCATTTCAAAGCATTTTTGTCAATTGAAGCCATCAATTTGGTTAGTAGCCGGTTCTTATGGAAAACACTGAATAGTCAAGAGGACATGAATGGCCCACAAAGGGTATATTAGTAATTAATGCAGTGTATGAAATTTGATCAGAATTGCTTTTATATATTAGTTACTTTAAAATTGAAATCTAAAAAGTTGGATATAGATGATAAATTCTCAGAAAATTATGTATAAGTGCATACATACATATGTACTTTATCAGCATATTAAGTGTAACAAGAGGCTCATGGGCCACATTGGAACTGAGCTAAACGCAAAATGTGATGAAGGTCAGATGGAAGGACAAAAGGACGGACATGATAAACACTATATGCCCCGGCCATATTCATGGCGGGTCATAAAAATTGAATGGTTTTTGTTTTGATTTCTCAGGGGACCATTGCTGAAGTTGTCAAATTTGGACCATGTGGGAATTAATTGGAAAAGTGTCAAATTCTTTTTCTTTTAATATTGTTTGTATTTCTACCTTAAGGATCCACGACACCATGTGACTTGTGATGTATATAGAAAAAAACTTTAAATGTTTTGATTGTTGATGTGAAAAATATTAAATATTTATAATGTAATTAATTTAATCTTTGATAAATAAAATTTAATTGAAATAAGTCTGAAAAAAAAAAATAGTAGTTGAGATCGGGGTGATTATAACCTTTAATGCATTGATTCATTAATGTTGCTTTCTTGTCAAACTTTCACTAAAAAAAGAAATATTTGAGACAAATATTGCAATATATTATTTTATACGTTTTATAATACTGTTTAATCAAGTTGTATATACATAAATAAACAGTCTAATTATATATTAAATTGCTTTTTTTCTAGTGTACTCTAAAGAACTCTATCGTAATCTAGCGTACTCCGCTTAGTAGTATCCCGGAAATGGTATTGAAAACAATTTCACTGTTGGCTTACTAGAAAATGTACAGCATATGTAAATATTTAGGTGTATGTATTTGCTATTAATTCTGATTCATTTCTTAAATGAGCTATTTTTTTCAGCATGAAAACAAGAAATGTTCTTAATAGGCCTAAAACAATTTCTTACCAGTAATCCGACTGACCCATTCAATTTAACCACGGGTGCATATTTTGCGTGTCAAATCTGTGTTTGATCAATCAGCTGATTTCTTTTTCTAGCAATATTGATTGTAGCTGAATTTGAGACGTTACCAATATGTCAACCTAGTCAACGTTTACTTTGAATATAAAGAGTATTAAGGCCTTATTTATCAATTTTTTATTATTAAGATTTCCTGCAAATTTTGATCTACATCGTCTCAAGTTTCTCCCCAAAAAAAAAGGGGGGGGGGCTACATTATTGCAGCTAGTCACCTCGAAGATGGCGTACAAGGAAGATAACTCGGAGAAAATACGTCATAAGAATTCAGAAAACTAGGTACTTGGAATTACAATGAAAAAAATCTATACATTCAACTGATGGTATTGAAAAAAAGCAATTACTTACTTGCTTTTTGACATTTCTAGCATTTGTTGGTGTGCGGAGGCACTGAAGGACACGGCAACGGTGTATTCATCCTTTCGTTGTATTGTCATATTAAAATATCTGCTCCCGTTTGCCGAAATTTTTACTGGGGACAAGCAGTGGATAAATCCAGTCACCATGGTTACAGAGTTGTCTGATGGTGGTGGATTTTCATCCATCTTTCGTTTTTCCTCCGAAGATGTCATCTTGGCAGTTCCTTGACTTCACTCGTGGAAAACCAGAATAAAGCATGACGTTAGCTCTTTCGAAGTTTTCGGGTTTTCATTAAAGTATATAAAGAAGTCCAGATTTTTTCCGGCTAAAATTCTACACTCCCGCCAAGAAAATTGCATGACGTCAGTCGTTTTGTTGTTATTGGAAGTCTTCGAGTCACTTCAAGTATATAAAAATGGTACAAGTAGAGCTTTCTAAAAAAAGCTTACCGTCTTTAGCAACAATCTTTAAACCACTGTATACAGTAAACCATCTACACCTATCACACAATATCAGGCCATTTTATTCCTGAAAATTTCTTGGTTTTGTATTTCTATAAAAAGTTTTTTACTGGTATTAGCCCTACCATGGTTGTCGCTTGGCCTTCTCCGTAAATTTCGAGATCTTTCTGCAAGCCTCGGCTTATTCCGTTACCTTCTTCTAACAGCATTTCAACCAATGAAATAATTGAAAATTTTCTCATTATGCAATTTCTACCAATGCATAGGCCGAAGACTGTAATCGGGAAATGGCAAATAGAATACAACAGGATTTACATTAAAAATTACCTTTTAAATTCAAGTACAATTAATATATTTCTCATGAAACAATATATTTAAACTTCATCTTAAAATACTTATTAGAATACAGTATGGAAAATACACTATGATTTAACTTATCGTTGGTACATAAAACATTCAAATCTATTTAGTGGTGAATTTATTATGATAATAGATAGTTTACGATGGACCTAAATTTAGCAAAAGTTACCTCCCGTTGGCCGCCATATTGGAGGTCGACTCGGTGAGTTTTCCTCTTTGTCTTACCAAGTTAAAGAAAATATAGCAGAAATGTTTGGTGGAAAATCTTTATTAAATATTTTTTTTAAATAAAGGAGGTTTCCAAAAATTTATACACTTCAGAATAATATCAGCTAGGAAAACGCACAAATCAGATCAGAATTGAAAAGTTTACCGAGGGGGTGGGCGGGGGGAATCCGGGATGTTTTGCGCCAATTCTGTTTCGCACTGAGATGGTTTTATTTTAAATATTTCATCACATTTTCATCCGTTTTAAATTATTTATCAAATATGACATAAATATTTTGTGTGCTCAAATTCATGACTTAATAACATGGACTGCTATAGTTAACGGATCGTACGGTGCCCGTTTGCTCAGCGTGTCTGTTCAACAATTCAACAGTGTTTCAATGAGGATTTAATTGTAATAAGTTGGGGATCAAAAGGTGAGAATTTAAGTTGATGTGTAGGTTGTCCAAGCCAGCAATAATTACTTAATTAGATGGTGGTATTATAATTATCTACTTGTACGTAATTAGCACGGTGTTATAATAATTCATAATTATGCTATGTATGTATACTTCAAACACAGACAAATAATTTACGTGTCTGCTTAAAATATATAATCTTCTTAAATTTGAAAAAAAAATGTTCCAAAAATATCTATATTTACATATATTTAAAATCTGAAATTTTGTTAATTGAACCAAACTCAGTAGCACTTTTATGTACTTGGAGTGAAACACCGTGGGCGAACCATGCATAGGTGCGAAACATCCCGTTACCGGCGAGGGAAGGGGGCTTGAATTCTAATACGAAATCATGGCTTTGCTATTCTTTACAAACAGATTTTTTAAAAATATATTTTAATGTAAAACTTGGATCCCACATTGTGGCCCCACCCTATCCCTGGAGGTTATGATTTGAACAAACTAGAATCTACAGTATCTGAGGATGCTTCCATAAAAATATTGTTAATCATGGCTTTGCAGTACTTGTGAAGAAAATTTTAAAGATTTCCCTATATATTTCTATGTAAAACTTTAATTGGCCATTGTGGCCCCACCCTACCGACGGGGGCCATGATTTGAACAAAATTGAATGCACACTACCTGAGAATGATTCAACATGAGTTTCATCTTTCCTGTCCCAATGGTTCTTGAGAAGAACTTTCAAGTAGATTTTTAAAGATTTCTCAATATATTCCTATGTAAAACTTTGATCGGCCATTGCGGCCCCACCCTACCCCAGGGGCCATGATAAGAACAAACTTGAATGTACATGCACTTCCCTGAGGATGATTCAACATGAGTTTGATCTTTCCTGTCCCTATGGATCTTGAGAAGAAGATTTTTTAAAGATTTTTCCTATATATTCCTATGTATAACTTTGATCGGGCATTGCGGCCCCACCCTTGCCCCGGGGGTCATGATTTGAACAAATTTAAATCTACACTACCTGAGGATGATTCCACATGAGTTTCATCTTTCCTGACCCAGTGGTTCTTGAGGAGAATTAAGATTTTTTAAAAAAGTCATTAATTTATCACTAATTCATAATTATCTCCCCCTGGAAGAGGGCGTGGCCCTTCATTTGAACAAACTTGAATTCCCTTTACCCAAGGATAGTACTTTGTAGCAAGTTTGGTTGAAATTGGTCCAGTGGTTCTTGAGGAGAAGATGAAAATGTGAAAAGTTTACAACGATGGTGACGACGACAGACAACAGACAAATTCTGATCAGAAAAGCTCACTTGAGCCTTCGGCTAATAAAAACAAAAAATGTGAATAAGATTTTACTTTTATTTCTTTACAAAATTCAACAGACTTGATGAAAATTTATCAGACAATTGGTAGATAATAGAATAAAAACTAAGAATCGTTAATAACAATTAGGGTGAAATCACCATGGATCGGACACCCTCGTACTTCAACAAGTTCTAGCGATATCGCTACCGACCGAATATTATCAAAATGAAACTTAACATGTAGTATGTGCTCAAAATATAAACTTTTGACAGAATCGTGTGCTATTTATTGAGAAAATATCACTAAAAACCGATGTATTCGAAATAAGTCAGAATTCACCATGGATCGGACAATATTCACCATGCATCGGACATACAATATTTAAACCAAAAAAATATCATACCTTGATCTCGGTGCTTTAAAATTAGTGATATCGAAACATTTTTATCTTTTATTTAAAAATTAACCATCTAGTTAAATTTGAATGACTATTTCGATCCACAAATGTGAAGAGATTTTTAGTTGCATTACATCGCCTTAGAAAGGCTTTACAATGCTAGTAATATGGCAACTCGAGCCTTTGTCTCGTGAGTTATCATCATCTAGTTTAGAGTAATAAAATTGAGTCCATTTCTAGTCGTCATATATCGATTACTTGTATTTTCACTGAAAATTTAGAGTTTCTATTTTCTATTTCCGTATAAAACAGCTGTCATTTGGGCTTTATATGAAAATGGAAGCGATTACCCATGCATCGGAAAGTGTCCGATGCATGGTTAATTTGTGTCCGATGTACGGTGAAATAAATATACTAGTAAAAACAACTCTAAAGAATATTATACACACATTGAAGTAAATTTTTTGAAAATTTTCTTTAAAATTAATAATGATTGACAAATTTTACCTAGGTCCGTCTCGTTCCGTTGAAGTCTATTTAAAAGAACGACAACTCTAAAAAATGCAAAATTGTAAAATGCTGGTTACTCCCCTTTGATGATGCAAAATATGACGTAATTTCAAGGCCATTCTTGTGGTATTTTTATCACAACATGAAAATAAAAATCGGCATCATTAAAAAGTCTAAATCTTCACCTTTCAGACAGAAACGAGTAAAAACACGACAAGACTCAGGTTCAATAAAAGTTTATTGCTTAAAGTTGTCCGAAGCAAGGTATGTGTCCGATGCATGGTTAACTCACCCTAACTATCTAAATTTTAGATGACTTCAACACACATATACACACATGCACAGAGTATCAAATAATTATGCAATATTGCAACAGTTTTTGATTTCGATGAACAGCGTTGCCATGGTTACTAAAAATGGAAATTTCTGTGAAATTCCTTTAAAATGCTACTCCTCCCACAGTTTTCGTCTGATTTCAATATGGTTTGGCATACAAGTAGACTACATTAAGATACATAATTTTGTGCATCAGTTTTTGATTTCGATGAACGGTGTTGCCATGGTTACTAAAAATAGAAATTTCTGTGAAATTCTTTTAAAACGCTACTCCTCCTACAGTTTTCATTTGATTTCAATATAACTTGGCACACAAGTAGACAATATTAAAATACATAATTCTATTCATTGCTGCATGTTGCAAAGTTTCAAATCCATGTGCTACTTTTTCTTTGTTACATGTATATGTACAGACCAGTAGAGCTATAGTCTCATCAGAGACTTCTGGTTTAAATAATGTCCCCACGATTCTAAAGCTAACACTATAGGAAACAATTCTTTGGCAGTAATATACCAAGACACCATATCGTTTGACCTCTCGCCAGTTAACCATTTGCTACCAAGAACAGCTGCATAACCTTCATGCACACCTGCAGCATCAGAATATAATTAAGGACAGACGATACGTTCCTCAATAATATATAATTTTTTCTAAGATTTTGTCATTGAAGTATTGCTACTTTAACATGTTTACTCACAAAAAATTGAGGTACCTTACCAGGCATTTGTGCAAGATACCAGAGGAAGGTGTTTCCTATAAAACCCTTTTGGAAAAAAAAAAATAATTTTCCAATATCACATTTTTTAGTGTTTCATTTTTTTTTTTAAAGAAAATCAGAAACCAGTTTAGAAATCAGAAGGTAATTAAAATTTTGAATATTTTGCATAAATAACGAAGATATACAAAATAGATATTTGAGAAACGTATCGACTGACCTTAATTGTATCTGATGAAACCCATCTATCAAATAAGAAACAAGTCTTCCCGTTGAGATTATCAATGAATGTAGACCAGGCATGCATGTCTGACCTTGCTTCAGC